CGTCCTCGGCCATAATAACATCCACTCAAGGAAACCCAAACAGAAAACCCAACTCCAGCTGGTCAGACACGTCCACAGTCAGCAAAGAGACCAACTGTCCAACTGAGGAGGTCATTCAAAGTAACGCTGACTCATCATTACATCAGGATGCTGATTCAAATCCTTCAGATGCAAATACCTCTGCTTCAGCAGAAAAACACGAGGAGTCGTTGGGGTTTGTGTTTCAGAAAGTGTCCAAGAATCTAAGAATCAAAAGAAGGGCGCTGGAGCTGAGTCATCGTCAGGGTGACGAAGAGGGAGGGGGGTGTGTAGGGAGGTTGGTGTCTGGAGATGTGACTGATACCCACACAGCCGGAACACTGTCCTCACGTAAGAACTGCCCCTCAGAACACGTAGTTCAGGACAACCTGTCAAAGGACAAAAGTGACCGGACTGTGAGTAAAAACATCAGTACTGTACTGAAGGAAAAGATGGTGGCTGAAGCTGGAGCAGGTGAAGATCTGCATGCAAAGTTCTCAGGCTTTACATTCAAACCAAGGAAGATGGTTCCAAATCGTAACACAGTCTCCAACGTTGACACAGAGTTCCACAGCTCCTGTAACCCAGGCCTCAGAGATCTCCACACAAACACAGAGAGCAGCAAAAGCAAGCAGAAGCCAGAAACTACTGATGACCCAGAGAAGAAGAAAAGACAGAACCAAAGTCTTTCTGAAGATGGGAGCAGGAGACAACGGGAAAAAAGTAAGGCGAGTGAAAGAGTGTCTGCAGAACAAAGATTGACAGTTGGCAGTAGTAATGAGACTAAAGTAGGTAGCTTCGCTTGCTCCACACCTTTAAAACCAAGCTCTTGCATCGACGATCCGGAAACTTCCGAATCAGGACAAAACAAGTCCACTGTGGCCTCTTCCACCCTGGCTAAACTCTCACGATTCTCCTTCTCCTGCGCAGCTGAACCCACAAACACAACCCAAACTGATCTGGGAAAAGGTTCTGCTACCAGAGAAGACAAAAGTCCAGAAGCTGAGGAACATTCTAGAGGAAATGTCCCCGAACACAGTGCTTTACTAAGGAAGATAAAAACTGTAGTAAACATAAAAAAGGGCATTTCCCCAACCCCATCAGGACAGGGACATGGACAGGGGATGGATAAAACCAAGCTCACTGAACAAAGCCGCGCTGCGAACCATGTGACCGACGGTCCTGGTGATGGTCACAGCAGCGCTAATCTGAAGAAGAGGAAGTGTTTCCAGCTGGGCGGCACCAAGAGTCCGTTCTCAGGGCTGTCTCTGTTCGACCTCAGTAACGATGTTCTCGACACTGACTGGGACCAAGAGGTTACAAAGAAAGCCAAAACTTGAGATCATAGGCTACTGTCACAATGTGTCCGTTGAATTAAATAAAGGCCCTATTACAGTATGTGTGTTTATGTAAATGGTCTGAAAAATGAAGTAGAATTTAAAGAAAAATAATCAGGTAACGTACAAGTACCTCAAGATTAAGTTAAACATCCTTTCTTGATTTGCCAGATTTGAACTGTTACAGGAAATATGAAATGAAAAAAAAACATGACGTGCCTTTTACTTAATCTGGATTATATTAAGGTGTTTGGGTAGCTGCAGAATTAGCTATGGTAATTAGACGTTAAGCCTTGCAGTAAGTAACATTCTTAACCTAATAGACCACAATTACAATTACATTTACGAAAAACCAATAAAAAACAGTTTTCCAAGTTTTGAGTTATGGATGTAGAGTTATTTTCTTTTTAATTGAGATTACAATTGATTAATTCTGTCACACCTTCAACCTTTTTCCAAATGAATTATTTTGCAGTAGCTCAAAAGATGTCCTGTCATCCATGGTGAGTGAGACTTATCCCCTCAAACTCTCAACATCCAAACACCTTATAGTGCTATTGTGAAAATGTTGAATCCCCCAAAGTGTTATGTTAGAAATGTAAAGTACAGGTCCCCAGCACATAGAAACTGCAGGATGCTAACTTGCATAATTGGGCAACGTGCACAGTTAGCATAAATGCTGTTAATTAGCATTATAGCCTATGAGGACAATGGTTACAAATTGGCTTTGCCAATTTGGACAGTTTTGGAATGATTTGTGGTTATTGAGGGTGCTGAATCTATTCTGATATTTTTTAGGATAAAAAATGGCAGTTTAAACCAGAAAGTGGCCATATTTGTGCTCTTGGTGGGTTTATCTTGACTACCATGACTAGTGTTGCAACCACTGGATATAGCGCACAAGATGAACATTATTATCTCTATTGTGGACATTTATTTTCAAAAGAATAAGCAATCTCTTCAATCCTAATGATCCAGCGTCCACTTGAACTTCAAAATCAGCTAATAGCTATAGTTAGGGTACCATTATTTAACACTTGCCCGATTCTTCTTTAGCTATAATTTGATCTCTTTTGCATAAGTAAGTTATAAGAATAGAGCATATTTTGTTAGTAAAACTGCTTTAACTCAACCATGTCCCTTTTTTTTCTTTCTTAAATGACACTAGTGAGTTGGTTACCTCTACCAAAGGTTCCCTAAGTTACGCACACACTTCACAGAGGATTTAATGGTCACTTCATTAATAATAAACATGTTTTAGCATTAAATATAATAGCACTAAGGAATAACATTCATGTTATTGTTGCTAACCAAAGGATTCTTGTTGGTAAATCTCCTCCCCTTCATGTGCTGACATTTTATCTCTTGATCTTTGGGTGTCTCTAGGTGGATGAAGCCACTGTGATCAATGTACTGTTAACTAGGGTGGGTCAAAGCTCATCAACATAAGAGTGAGATTCAGAATGAGATAAAGTTTATTATCACATGCTGCAAATAGAGTCCACATTCCAAACAATAAAGAATAACATACACAAAAGGGACACAACGTAATTATAATAAAACAAAACATTTGATCAAATTGAGACAGAATAAAGAATTACAAAAAAAAATCAATCTACAATCACACGGTCTCGGATAATATTATTGTGATAGTATTGCAGCAAAAACTGCTGCTGAGCCAAAGCTGTGGTAATGTGATACATTTGTAATTGTATTTTTTAAATATGTATTTTAGTGATTCTCAGAAAGAAAATACCAATCACGATTTTTCACGTGTTTTTGTTGCATGTTACCAAGCACTGGGATAAGACCAAAAGAAAAAACATTGTCTAGCACAAGATGTAGAAAACAACCATTAACTCTTAACTTAAGGGGAACTTGGCCTGTTTTCAAAATGCATACATGTTGTTCCTATGGTCCAAGACAGGCCACTCATACTAATAAACAACATCTGGACATATGTTACAGGTGACACTGAGAAAACCAATGGAAATGTTCTGGGTATATTGATGAACTACATTTTTTTTATAAAACTGCAATATATTGGAGATTTTTGGGGTCTAAAAAGCAAAACAAACATTCTTCGTGTCAATAAAGTTCTTATCCTATTTATTATTCAAGTTTCACTAAAGCACAACTCCGCATTCCATGTTCTTGAATCGGATAATGTCATTTGATACATCTCTCCTGCTACTTCCAGCAGAACTGATTTATGAAGAGCTTGAAATAAAAAAAATATGACAGTTGGTGCCGGAGATGCAAGTTGTAAAACTGGCTGTGATTCAAACCTTATGTATAACACCATTGAAGCAAAGTTCCAAAAAGCTCTCCGCTCACAGTCTTTCAACACGCTGTGACTCCTTCAGTTGGATTAACACCTCCGAGCCACTGCTTCTTCTTTTCCTCCCCCTCACCTTTGAGATCATCAGGTGGAACATCTCGATGATGTTGAGGATCACCGAGAGGACGGCCATCGCCAACATGAAGACGATGAAGATGGTTTTCTCTGTGGGACGACTTATGAAGCAGTTCACCTGTGATGGGCAGGGGTATTCAGAGCATGTGATCTTAAGAGGCATTAGTATGAAGCCGTAGAGGTAGTACTGGCCTACAATGAAGGCCACTTCCAACAGGATCTTGAACAGCACCTGCATCAAGTAGCTGACCAGCAGGACGCCCTTCAGCTGCACCTGGCCGAATTCGTCTGAATACTTTGGAGCTTTATTCATCCCGATTTGACCTAGCTTCTGCTCGATGCGCCTCCTCAGCTTGTTTTCTCTGCGAATTACCAGCAGGACATGGCCCAGGTACATGACGGCTGGAGTGGAGACCATGAGGATCTGGAGGACCCAGAAGCGCGTGTGAGAAAGGGGGAAGTATCGATCGTAGCAGGTGTTCTTGCAGCCAACGCTCCCGGTGTTACAGTCCATGTTGGATTGTTCGTCGCCCCATATTTTATCTACGCCAGCAGCCAGGATGAAGATCCTGAAGAGGAAAAGAACACTCATCCAGACCTTCCCCCCTACAGTGGAGTGGGACTGCACCTTGTCCAACAGATCCGACAGGAAGGACCACTCCCCCATGATGACGGCCTACGAGAAAAGACAAAGACAGCAATGGTGATGAGAGACAGAAGATTTCAAGTCGTACGTTGTAAAGAACATTTTACACATAGCATATTTTTGCATTCAAATAATAAAATAAATATAGATACAATTAAAAAATAAAAATATTGAAAGAATGAAGAAACATCTTCACCAGCAAACCTGTGCAGAGTTCACTAAAAGCATAATAAATACAAAATGCTGCAAGAAGCTCAAAACACAACGGAAACAGGGACACTAAAAAATGATGCACAGCTGAGAGCAATGCACTTGTTGAAGCTACTCTCACTGGAAACAGACCCTAATGTACGTTTTATTGGGGATTTATAACAATGTGTTCGCATGATTCCATATTTATTTGCAGCGTTTTGTGTTTGCAGCGTTTTGGTTATGCGGCGCTTTTAGCAAACGCTGTGCATGCTTCGTCAAGTTGCTGAATGTTTTTTAAACCATGTGCATGTGTTGTGAAATTGGGGTGGATGTTTTTTTCATTTGCATTATGTTTTGGCACATTTGTGTTTGTATACATATATTTGTGTTCTCCTAATCGAAGTCTTTTGGGCTGTTGAAGCGCGTTTGCACCTGTCGGCCACCGTATGTCCACACTCTAGACTACACAGTGAAAGTATGTGTAGCGACTTCAGGAACAAACAAAGGTAGCTGAGAGGCTGAGGCCGGGCCTGGTTGCCTTTATCTAATCAAAAATGACTAAAATCTCCAAAATGCATTGTACAAAATCTTTATTTAAATTTGAATTTATTAAACGTTCTCAAACAGATCATCTGAATAATCCCCAAATCAAAAGGTTGCCACCCTCTCAGCCTCTCGTCCACACATACCTCACACAGGTGAACACATGACTATATTTACTGAGTGCCGTCCCTAACCATGTGACCCAACCTATAATTGATCACAACGTTTTAAGTAATAATATGACAAACAAAGAACAATGGTTAAATAAAAACAATCAATAACCTCATGCAATTTCATTTTATATATACGTATGTATATATATATATATATATACATATACATATACATATACATATACATATATATATATATATACATATATATATATACATATATATATATATATATATATATATATA